AGCCTCCAACCCTGTATCCCTACTTCATAGCTGCTCCCCTCTGCCCATCCTCCACACAGCACCTAATGATCTAACATGAAGATCCAACTATGTCACTTTCCTGCTTAAAAATGAATGCTTCCCTCTCACTGGTGACAGTGTTTTCAACTATATTTTCTGCTCCAAACAAATGAGGAATTTATCTTACTTCCATCAGAAAGAGTGGCTCACTACAGCATGATTGTCACTGAAGAGAGGATTCTCCCCAGCCTAACTGAGACCAAGTCAAGGGCCCGGTTAGAGCAGGCCTTGCCTGCCTTGCCATCATCACTCCCTCCTGCTTTAAACGTTGACACTTTAGCAGTAGCAAAGTGCTTTACCCCTCTTCCCCAGCTCCTGGGTGTTTATTGCCTATGAGCCTTTGCTTATACTGTCCCCTCCCCCTGGAACACTTTCCCATCATCACTCCCTCAATTTGACCAAATCCTTGAGGATCTCCTCAGCTTAGCATCTTCCCCCTCCCTGGCCTAGGGTGGCCTGAGAGCCATCCTTGGCACTCCTATTATATACAGAGCCTATCTCCATCCCACACTTCCTCCTTGTTTTAGTCTATTGTGTTTTTAATATTCTTATAAAATTTCTTATCGTCTAATTCCAAAGTAATTTGTTTTCATTGTTCATCAACTCCTAACTCCTCAAGAGACACTACCCAATATATAAACTCGGTGACTTTCAAGTAGCCTGGGAACATAACTCTTGGGATATCTAGAATTGTGATCCACAAATTAAAGATATTTTAAGGTAAGAACTGTAAACTTCTGCTTTCTCACTGCAGGTGAAGAGAGCTGTAGATAACTATAACTTAGGAATTGCTCTCCATCAGCGGAAAGAAATGCTAAACCTCTGGCAGAAGATCCGAGGGGACTTGATTGGAATAGAGACTAAAAATGAGTCCTTTTATGACACCTTTTCTACTTATACATGGTCCTGGAATGTTTGCCAAGAATTGCTTTCCCCGAAGGACTTAAGGTTGTATGATGCCTGTGTACATAGAAATTCCTTCAACAGTTCTTCATCTTCTTCCTCTCGGATGTCAGTGAACGTGACATAGAGACAGGAAGAAAAAGAAAGCGGAAAGGTTTCAGAGGCTTGCAACAATGAAATTTCTACATTTTTTAAGCAGCTCATTGCAAACTACTTTTTCATAAATATCAAAATTATGGTTTCTTGCTTTTGTCTGGTACATTCTTAGCAGCTGGAAATGTTGAAATCTTTTAAATTCTGACCAGTAAAAAAGTTTAAGTCATAATATGTTTTCCCTTTTCTAATTTTTACTGGTAAACAGATGCCATTCTGTTATTTCCCTAGCAACCAGCTGCACTCTGCTGCCCCCACCTGGCTCAACACTGCCTGGGCAGAAGGAGCCAAGCTGGAAGCAGGCACTTACCTGGACACAGAGCTACCCTAGTGAGTTCCTAAGGGCTCTCCCAGCAATAAGTATCTGAATTTATGTGACTATAAATGGCATTAGTTTTTTTATTATTTGCCAAAGTGGCCAGAGATAGCAGATGACAATGACCTTTCCATTCAGGGAATAATATCACCCTCCCACCCCAGGGAATCTTGATTAAATTTGGGTGTTCCTAAGGCCTTGGTCACAAATCTTCAGACCAGTCTCTTGGAATACTCTTAAAAATAGCTGACCTCATCCATTACACTTCTTGTTGATGTCATTCATTGCATTTAATAAAGCAGCACACAACTATATTATAAGTTGGGGGTTGTAATTATTTTATTGTAGAAAATATACATAACATTTGCTATTTTGATCATGTTTAAGTGTATGTCATCTATTACACTTTTCCCCTTATAGAAACAGGAAAAAAGAAAATAAAAAAATAGAAAAAGGAAAGGATATGTTCCATATTGATGGTGCCAGTGGCTTATAATGTAAAATTACAACATTCCAGGAAAAAGCAATGAAGAGAGTGAAGGCTCCCAAAACTGTTTAATGAAATAGCCTTGAATATTCAAAACCATCTAAATATACTTGCCATTATTCAGAATATTATGATGGTGGGGGGAAAACCTAACTTTATAGATAAGTGACCATGTTTTCTAACCAAAAAAACCCAAGATTTATGGTTTGACAAGAGATTTTTTTGGTCTGGCTGTGAGTGTATCAGGTAATCTAAGAGAGATAATTTGGATGCCAAAATATTAGAATTCTTGGAATACTTCCTTGGACAAAGGGGATGATATAATATTTTTAAGTAGATCTGTCCTGGAAAATCAAAGATGTACACTAATACATTCTTTATATTAAATTGCCACATAGTGTTGGTGACGGTATAATATGGCACCTCTCTGACAGAACACAGTATAGCAACGGGTGCTCAGCCATTCACTCACCAATTACTTATTGAGTTGCATACTGTGTGCTGGACCCTGATCTAAGATCTAGATATACAACAGTAAACAGATAAAATACTCTGACCTCACAGAGCTTAGTAATGGAGCTAATTATAACTATTTACTCAGTACTCCCACTTCTAGAAATTATTCCTAAATAAATAATCAAGAATGTACAAAATGATTTCATTATAAGGGTGTTTATCATTTTGAATTTTTAGGTAAGAAACTTAAAGAAGCCTAAATGTCCAATAAATGATGATACAACTACATAAACAATATCAGAATAACTAAAATGATGTTGTAAAAGAATATTTAAAACAAAAGAATGATATTCATGAGCTATTAAGTTTAAAAGCAGGCTGCAA